TGTACAAAGGATTATATGTATGCTTTGGGCCGCTGAAATGTCTCTTACAATAACGATAAAGTCTACTTTTCGGGATTTGAAAAATTTGATGAAAATTAAAGGATGGAAAGAAGAAATACAAAACGATTTCACGCAAGAGCATCATGGTAAGGCATGATGCTATGAGGCATATGAAAGCAATGATATTATATATGATCTGTATTGTTAAACTGTATTGAACTTCAATAAAATTTGGAAAAAAATGATGGGGACCTTTACCGAAATACTGAGAAGTTATTCAAGTCACTTAACAATATATCTGAACAAAAGGAGTGCCATTCCTTTTTCTAAACCAGATTTTTCCAGGGAATCCACTGAAGAAGAAGTCAGCAACATTGAATTTTAACAATGGTGTATGATCTTCTCACTCTCTGTTAGAATGTAGAAGGCTTTGAAATGGTTATAAACGACTAACAGCATCAACCATGGCTGTCACATGTTTGTTCACAGTTTCTGGATCCAATGTCGCTGACACGCCCGAAGCCCATTCGGCAAATACGACCGGAGCAGATGGTTGAAACTGAAAATTTGCATTTGCAACAAAGTTAAACTCTTCCATTTATTAACTTCATCAGGCGAAAAAGAAGAGCTTCGTTTTCCGTTAAAGGTAAAAGATTAAAAGTTTTTCTTGGTTGTCTGACTATGAGCATCGGCTCTTTTGAAGATTTGGATTCAAATGTTTTTGAATTAGGTTTTTCAAATTGGAGTACTTTACTTGAAAACAATGAATGCTGCGCTTTTAAAGTAACATGTGCGCTCCTTTTCGTTTGGCATTATAGCTTTGACTAGCTTTGACGAAGATACTTGCAATCTAGGACTTGCAAAAATCACTGTCTGTAAAAGACCAGTATGGTGACTTGCAATAAAATTGAGCTAAATCTGAGTTTGGATAGTTTGAAGCGTCGGAACAGATGTGTATATCAATTACGGAAGAACTCACAAAATTAAAGTTGGGGATTGTCCTCTCTTATGCTTATAAGTTGCAGAAGAGAAGGTTCAAACGATTGTTAGTAGGCGCATCTCTTACCACACCCTAGTTCTGTGTAAAATACAATCAGCT